AATGATGGGCGGGTGAAAATGACTAAGCATCAGAATCATTATCCAGGGTAAAACCTGAAAGATCTCAGAATATATCACAGATATGGCCAAAAAATAATTGTATCGGGCAAGAAAAATGTAGGAGCCATCTAGAAAATATAAGGTCCTGGTATAAATGACAGGCAGTGCGCTTGAGTAAAGGATGATAAAGAAGTAAATCATTTTTAAGGCAATCTTTACCGGAGTGCTATAAAAAGCTACAGAAATATTATGTATCTCAGTAAAGCCCCACAATGATGTCATATTGAGCAAAGGCCAAATCACCTAGCATTAAGGAATGTCAAGTTGTTAGGCCCTCACACTGTGCAATATAATAGAAAGCCTTTTGTGAAATTGACCCTAATATTCAAGTAGCAATCAGTTTATAACAATAGTGAAATCATTTGTCAATTTTGAGTTCTTCAGAAGCTATTTTGACAGGCAGAAAAAAAGCATTCTGAACTGGTAATCTCACAATAAGAATATAAATGTGGTTGTTTGGATTATAGTGTTTGCTTTTTGACATTCATAATTTATTTTAATTCATTTTGTTTCTCTACTTACAGCTTTGTAACAACCTTGACTGTTTCCCTTCAACCCTTCCATGCATATCTAAGCAACTCGTGGCATTTTTTATTTATTTATTCATCTTCATCTCAAACAGTCTAAATAAAACTGAGGGACAGATGCAGTGGTTGCATCTTCCAGGTCTTAAAGTCCACTACTCATCCTATGTCAGGTTGCTCTGATACATGAAGTTATATTTGCAGTAAGTGGAGCTGCTCAAGGGGACTGGAAAAGTGGGAAGTTTTCTGCTCTACACTGATTATTTTATTAAGTAAAGAGTAAGTTGAGGAAAGAAACTCTATTCCAGCTGTTTTACCTGGACACAAGCTGTGCCTGCATTAAACACACCTTGATTGCTCTTCTTCAGAGCAAAGTGGACAATCAACGAGTCATTCCTGTGAGGGGAAAGTTGCAGGAAACGCAGAGAGCATCTGCGGTAGTTCAGAGTGCACATGTGTACAGTGCACTTTATTAAATATAGGTCATTGTAACTCATTGCTACAGCAGTAAATACATTTAGTCTTTTGAAAGAGCTGAAGAATAATATCTTCCATCGTTACAGTTGTGTATTTAATAGAAGCAAACAGAAAAGCCAGGGAGGGAGATGAGAGGAAGATGCATCCTCATGTTCATGGGCTCAAACATGATGGAAGATATAGTTTCCATTGCTGTGTTAATGAACCTTGCTTGAATCCTCAAATCTTTAATAATTGTATTTTTCACTCTAACTGTTACCACAAGTCATTATGTTAAAGGAAAAATCCAGTCAGCAAGGAATAATCAATGACTCATTCTCTGTACCTAAAACTAATGCCTTAGCAGTGATTTAATGAATTTAGTTTTAATCAGTAGAAAAATGAAAGTAATAATTTTTCTTGAGATCACTGAGTCTGTGAGCGGCCATTTTTTGCCCAAATATAGTAACACCTCCCTCCTGCCATCTTGCAGCAGTGACGTCACTATGGGTGTAAATCACATCCATCATGGCGATTCGATTCAGTATCGATTTCCTGACCCAACGATTCGATTATTTTCAATACTCTTTTACACCTTACAGGCTAGACAATGTTTCGAATTTGAAATAAATCAATGAAAGCTGTAATATTGTTATGCATTTTATTTGAGAAACAACAGCAAATAACAGAAGTAGAAAAGTTGCACTCTATCTATTCCTATTAAAACCTCATTCACTGAAAAATTAATAATACCCCTGTGTTATAGATTCTGAAAGGCTTTGCATCAAAAAATGCTGCANGTTATAGATTCTGAAAGGCTTTGCATCAAAAAATGCTGCACAAAATCAGTGCAATGCAATACCTCGGCTCCAGACGCCCCGCCCCCTCCACAGACGCTCCGCTGCTCCTCTCCCAAATCGTAGCTGACCGCAGACAGTGCTGCAGACAGGAGGCCGGCGTGTTTTGTTTTTATGACCGAAATTGCAGAAAACAACTCGTGAAGTTTGACCCACTAGAAGAGCGAGGTGCACAAGAATGCGGGGATCCTTTTTCCAGCTGAATCTCCGCTCTTGTTGGTCCTCATGTCCCTCCGTCGTCGGACTAAACTTCCTCGCCGCCTCTAGACCCACAGCGTGTAGCACAGACCACGCTTCAATATTGGGCATAAATCAAAAATGTCTGTGTCAGGCTTACTGCAACACACTGCTGTAAGACTATAACCAGGAAGCGCGGTAGGAGGGCAAAATAGGTTTAGCACCATCGCAGCACAGGAGGGAGAATTACGCCCAGGAGCAAATGGATAAAAATAGACTGGAGACTTGCAGCATAAGGCTGAATTTAAGTGCAGGGCTTGATGGTCAATTACTTTAGTTTTTTTGCAGGGTTGATCAAACTACTTATTAAAAGTGGCCGACATCAAATTCCAACCCGCATGCGCAGAAGGACCATGTAGATGTCACACAGCAGTGCACTGTTAACACTTGTGACAAAGAACATTCTTTCAAAGACCAGAATGTCCACATTTTAGACAAAGAAAATAGGTGGTTTGAGAGGGGCGTGATGGAAGCCATCTATGTTAAGAAAGAAAAAAACAACCTTAAACAGAGGGGGGGCTCAGCTTTCAGCTTTCAAAAGCCTTCAATGCAGCGATAGAGTTGATTCCTTCCCACTATCATCACAGCCCCACCCCCTTTACAGGAGAGCAGAAGACCTTGCCTGTTCAGCCAGACCAGCAATTCCCTCTAACGACCCCCCTATCAGAGAGATAGACAGGTATGGGGGATTGCAGGCTAACAAAAGAAGCCAAACGACCCCCATTCCAGAGGGTTGGACATACATCCGTTTTAATTTGCATGTTTTCTAAACAAAAACAAGGCTTTGTTGGGCAGCTGTATAAAGCCTCCAACTCAACACTATTTCTGACATTTAAAATTGAAAAAGCTTCCTGGATGGAAGAGAAACATCTTCAAACTTGGAAACAAAGTCCAGGGGATTGTTTTTTTTTTGTAATGTTAACACTTGCTTTACTAACTGCTTTTATCATGTTTTTATTTCCTCTTGCTTTTATTCTGCTTTATTTTGTTCCATTTTATTGTGGAATTAATGTAAAGCACTTTGAATTGTCTCAATACTGACTGCTGTAAATGTAAACTTGCTTTGCTTACATATGTAAATAAAAGCTACCCTCCACATGGTAAAGTTCTGAATTAACAGTCTCTATAAATCTCCCCTGCCTCATCTTTGCTAACTGTGTCTGCATGACTGTCATTCAAAAGGCCTGCTGTTCTGAAAAGGTGAGATCTCCCAGAAATACCTTCACTAAGAGTTTCACTCTGCTTTTAACCGTGTTTCCCACACAGCACCTGGTGAGACATTAGCTTCTCTTTTGCACAAAATGCATTTCTCTTTGTTTACTGTTGACCCTCTCATGGCAATACTCTTGTTGTTCTTATGTGAACACAGTTCAGTTTGGAGTCACAAACGGTTCATGCTGAAGTCAGATATAGGAAACATTTTTTAGAGCAATGGTATTGGCCAAAAAAAAGGGAAAAAGCAGATATGAGTTTTAAATTCTACAGTGGTAAAAATAGGCTGAGCTGCTGATCTCCATCAGAGCAGCTTTACATTCAACAATGAAACATTATATAAACCTGAGGTCACTGCACAAGAGATATGAGAGAGCAAAAGGCTAAAGAGGTTAACATTCATAAACACATGCAAACACATAAACAAAGCCTGTTTATGTGTGTTGGAGGTCATGGGGTGTTATGGAACGATCTGTATTTACACCTTGAAGCTTTCTCTCTCCGGATCTTATCCTAAGAAAAGCTCACTCAGGACAAACTCTTCCAATAACACTTTATAATGTCCAGTAGCAGCCATTCAAAATAATAATAATAATAATAATAATAATACATTTTATTTGTATTGCACTTTACATTTAAAAAAAAATCTCAAAGTGCTACAAAATTCATAGTTAAAACAAAACTGTACAATAAAAACAGTATACATAGTTAAAATGAGACATTTCAATAAAATAACATACATAGTAAAAACAAAACAGTAAAATAACCCTTCCCTGGCCCTTCCCAGTCAGAAGCTAGCCGAATGGCAGCAATAACCCCTCATAGGGGTTAAAGGAGACCTTAGCATAATTAAGGGGTGCTTGTATCCCTTCAACCGGCCTCTTTTCACCTCTAAATAGTGACAAATTAAATGTGCATATCTGAGAGATTAAGATATTTTGCTGCACTTAACAAAGTTAATTTCGCTAATCAATTTCTCCCAATATCTGTTCCAAATTTGTTGGAAAATTCCTTTGCGTTCATATGAGGCTACGTTCACACTACAGGCCTTAAAACTCAATTCTGATTTTTCGGGTGGTTGTTCATGTTTCCAAATAAAGGCAACTTGAATGTGATCTCCTCTGTGAACTGCATTCACACAAAATTAAGTGTCCCTCATGCGCAATAGAGGACGCAATGATGTCACAAGCAAGCGTGCAGTGTGTTTATGGAAGTAAACATGGATGTTAGTGCTGGAACGCGTCTTTCATTCCTTTCCCAACCTCAACCAGTGCATTAACAACACAGTCTTTTCAAGATGGTTAAAAATAAACCACATTATCAGCCGCCATGGTTGCTGTTTTTCTTTCCGCTTCTGCGTAGCAATAGGGACTTTGAGCATTAATGGCATTCAGTTCGGATAAATGCGACCTCGCTGTTCAGACACAGGTCGCATTTGCAAAGATCAGAAGATTATCAGATTCAGGACCACAGAGCTAAGTGACCTGGGTCGCATTGGAAAAATTTTGGTTCTGTGTTATTCATACTGTCATGAAAAGATCAGATACGGCTCACATATGGGCAAAAAAACATTGGATTTGGGTCACTTCATACTGCTGTGTCGATGTAGCCTAAATGAGTGTCTATGAAATGATAGCTGTTGGGTGATGCTGACCTGCAAAGGGCATCGGAGCGGCAAGTGTGTCGCAGTTCCAGGCAGCTGGGTTTGTGTCTTTCCTGGTGGGAGCAGGATGGGACGATGGTGCGGCGACGGCGCTCGGCACATGCTTGGTCAAGGCAGGAGCAGAACAGCAGAGGGTAGCTCAGCTCGGATGAGACACGCTCAAAGAACTGCCGAAGGGCCTAAACACAAAATAGATCATAGGATATGGTTAATATGATGGATGAATAAATTTTTACTGTAATCATTTTAAAGGAATAGTACACCCAAAACATGATTAGCCTTCATTTTCTA